GCTGCTAACGTACTGCCATTGCTGCTAACCTCCTGCCCCTGCTTCTAACCTCCTGCCCCTGCTGCTAACCACCTGCCCCTGCTTCTAACCACCTGCCCCTGCTGCTAACCTTCTGCCCCTGCTGCTAACCTCCTGCCCCTGCTTCTAACCTCCTGCCCCTGCTGCCAACCTCCTGCCCCTGCTGCTAACGTCCTGCCCCTGCTGCTAACGTCCTGCCCCTGCTGCTAACCTTTTGCCCCTGTTGCTAACCTCCTGCCCCTACTGTTAACCTCCTGCCCCTGCTGCTAACCTCCTGCCCCTGCTGCTAACCTCCTGCCCCTGCTGCTAACCTCCTGCCCCTGCTGCTAACCTCCTGCCCCTGCTGCTAACCTCCTGCCCCTGCTTCTAACCTCCTGCCCTGCTGCTAACCTCTTGCTCCGCTTCTACTTCTGTCCTGCTTCCAACCTCCTGCCCCTGCTTCTAACCTCCTGCCCCTGCTGCTAACCTCCTTCCCCTGCTTCTAACCTCCTGCCCCTGCTTCTAACCTCATGCCTCTGCTGCTAACCTCCTGCCCCTGCTGTTAACCTCCTGCCCCTGCTTCTAACCTCCTGCCCCTGCTGGTAACTTCCTGCCTCTCTCTAACCTCCTGCCCCTGCTTCTAACCTCCTGCCCCTGCTTCTAACCTCCTGCCCCTGCTTCTAACCTCCTGCCCCTGCTTCTAACCTCCTGCCCCTGCTTCTAACCTCCTGCCCCTGCTTCTAACCTCCTCCTTACTTCACAAAGTGCGGTGGAGTCATCTCGTGTTGCAGCCTCTGGCTTCCACCAGTTTATCAGCGACTAATTATTACGAGAGAACTAATCGTTCCATAATCGCGCTAAATAGCCTCTTACGACCTCCTATAAATCAACATTATCCTCATTTAACTACTTTAACTTGATGTGCTCACTGCCATTTCTTTCATGATTGCTGTTTTTCAAGTCTTTGCTTTAGGTGCCGTATGATTAATTGAATTTAGTTTAGATTATCATGTATTTAACCTTCAATAACATGTTTAATAACAAAAGGCCTTACTACTTCTGACAACGAGGTGGCGGAACAAAACGAGCAACGTTTAAATCTAGACGTTCATCATGTATGATGTGAGAATGTTAGTGTATTATCATTAAACGCAAACACACATTACCTCCATCTGAGTATCAGTTTTTTTTTATATATATAATTAAAAATAAAAAGACGAAAAATTTAGAAATATGCTGACCAGACTTATTGAAGTGAAAACTCTTAAATGCTGGTAAATCCCGTAGCGACGTTCTGGGACGTCTGAGCTGGATGATCCTAGTGACCTGTCTCCTGGGAGTGACCTGTACCTGACTGACCCACTATGACCACACTGTTCGCTGATTGACCTGCCTTCTCACTTACCCTTTGTGACCTTCACGCAACCACGCTTTAGCCCTCACGCCAAATAATTAAATCATTCTCGTCGTGGGAATATTAAATTTGCGTTTTCTGTTGTGATAAGTCAGCTTCTTTGCTAGCGACTTGGGATGCCAGCATCTCTCCGCTAGCAACTATCATCCCTCCGCTAGCAACTATCATCCCTCCGCTAGCAACTATCATCTCTCCACTAGCAACTATCTCATCCGCTAGCAACTATCATCCCTCCGCTAGCAACTATCATCCCTCCGCTAGCAACTATCATCCCTCCGCTAGCAACTATCATCCCTCCGCTAGCAACTATCATCCCTCCGCTAGCAACTATCATCCCTCCGCTAGCAACTATCATCCTCCGCTAGCAACTATCATCCCTCCGCTAGCAACTATCATCCCTCCGCTAGCAACTATCATCCCTCCGCTAGCAACTATCATCCCTCCGCTATGCAACTATCATCCCTCCGCTAGCAACTATCATCCCTCCGCTAGCAACTATCATCCCTCCGCTAGCAACTATCATCCCTCCGCTAGCAACTATCATCCCTCCGCTAGCAACTATCATCCCTCCACCAGTGACTATCATCATTCCGCTAGCAACTATCATCCCTCCACTAACAACTATCATCCCTCCGCTAGCAACTATCATCCTTCCGCTATCAACTATCATCCCTCCGTTAGCAACTATCATCCCTCCGCTAGCAACTATCATCCCTCCGCTAGCAACTATCATCCCTCCGCTAGCAACTATCATCCCTCCACCAGTGACTATCATCATTCCGCTAGCAACTATCATCCCTCAGCTAGCAACTATCATCCCTCCGCTAGCAACTATCATCCCTCTGCTAGCAACTATCATCCCTCCGCTAGCAACTATCATCCCTCCGCTAGGAACTATCATCCCTCCACCAGTGACTATCATCATTCCGCTAGCAACTATCATCCCTCCGCTAGCAACTATCATCCCTCCGCTAGCAACTATCATCCCACCAGTGACTATCATCATTCCGCTAGCAACTATCATCCCTCCGCTAGCAACTATCATCCCTCCGCTAGCAACTATCATCCCTCCGCTATCAACTATAATCCCTCCGCTAGCAACTATCATCCCTCCGCTAGCAACTATCATCCCTCCGCTATCAACTATAATCCCTCCGCTAGCAACTATCATCCCTCCGCTAGCAACTATCATCCCTCCGCTTGCAACTATCATCCCTCCGCTAGCAACTATCATCCCTCCACCAGTGACTATCATCATTCCGCTAGCAACTATCATCCCTCCGCTAGCAACTATCATCCCTCCGCTAGCAACTATCATCTCTCCACTAGCAACTATCATCCCTCCGCTAGCAACTATCATCCCTCCGCTAGCAACTATCATCCCTCCACCAGTGTCTATCATCCCTCCGCCAGTGACTATCATCCTTCCGCTAGCGACTATCATCCCTCCGCCAGTGACTATCATTCCTCTGCTAGCGACTATCATCCCTCCGCTAGCAACTATCATCTCTCCGCTAGCAACTATCATCCCTCCGCTAGCAACTATCATCCCTCCACCAGTGACTATCATCATTCCGCTAGCAACTATCATCCCTCCGCTAGCAACTATCATCCCTCCGCTAGCAACTATCATCTCTCCACTAGCAACTATCATCCCTCCGCTAGCAACTATCATCCCTCCGCTAGCAACTATCATCCCTCCACCAGTGTCTATCATCCCTCCGCCAGTGACTATCATCCTTCCGCTAGCGACTATCATCCCTCCGCCAGTGACTATCATTCCTCTGCTAGCGACTATCATCCCTCCCCTAGCAACTATCATCCCTCCGCTAGCAACTATCATCCCTCGCTAGCAACTATCATCCCTCCGCTAGCAACTATCATCCCTCCGCTAGCAACTATCATCCCTCCGCTAGCAACTATCATCCCTCCACCAGTGACTATCATCCCTCCGCCAGTGACTATCATCCTTGCGCTAGCGACTATCATCCCTCCGCCAGTGACTATCATTCCTCCGCTAGCGACTATCATCCCTCCGCAAGTAACTATCTTCCCTCCGCCAGCGACTATCATCCCTCTACCAGTGACTATCATCCCTCCGCCAGCGACTATCATTCCTCCGCTAGCGACTATCATCCCTCCGCCAGTGACTACCATCCCTCCGCCAGTGACTATCATCCTTCCGCCAGCGACTATCATCCCTTCGCCAGTGACTCATTCCTCCGCTAGCAACTATCATCCCTCCGCCAGTAACTATCTTCCCTCCGCCAGCGACTGTCATCCCTCTACTAGCGACTATCATCCCTCCGCTAACGGCTATCATCCCTCCGCTAGCGACTATCATCCCTCTACTAGCGAATATCATCCCTCCGCTAGCGACTATCATCCTCCGCTAGCGACTGTCATCCCTCCGCTAGCGACTATCATAAATTCGCTAGCGACTATCCCTCCACTAGCGACTATCATCCCTCTACTAGCGACTATCATCCCTCCGCTAGCGAATATCATCCCTCCGCTTGCGACTATCCCTCCACTAGCGACTATCATCCGTCCGCTAGCAACTATCGTCCCTCCGCTAGCGACTATCATCCCTCTACTAGCGACTATCATCCCTCTACTAGCGACTATCATCCCTCCGCTAGCGACTATCATCCCTCCGCTAGCGACTATCATCCCTCCGCTAGCGATTACCATCCCTCCGCTGGCGACTATCATCCCTCCGCTGGCGACTATCATCCCTCCGCTAGCGATTACCATCCCTCCGCTAGCGACTATTATCCCTCTACTAGCGACTATCATCCCTCCGCTAGCGATTATCATCCCTCCGCTAGCGATTATCATCCCTCCGCTAGCGATTACCATCCCTCCGCTGGCGACTATCATCCCTCCGCTAGCGACTATCATCCCCCCGCTAGCGTTCCATCCCTCCGGGGCGACTATCATCCCTCCGCTAGCGACTATCATCCATCCGCTAGCGACTATCATCCCTCTACTAGCGACTATCATCCCTCCGCTAGCAACTATCGTCCCTCCGCTAGCGATTATCATCCCTCTGCCAGCGACTATCATCCCTCTACTAGCGACTATCATCCTTCCGCTAGCGACTATCATCCCTCCGCCAGCAACTATCATCCCTCCGCGAGCGACTATCATCTCTCCGCCAGTAACTATCTTCTCTCCGCCAGCGATTATCATCCCTCCGCCAGCGACTATTTTCCCTCCGCCAGTAACTATCATCCCTCCTCTAACGACTATCATCCCTCCCCGAGCGACTATCATCCCTCCGTCAATAACTATCTTCTCTCCGCCTCCGACTATCATCCCTCCGCTAGCGACTATCATCCCTCCGCTAGCGACTTTCAGGTGAGTTTGCTCCTCTTTTCTTCCCTTGCACTCACACTCACCACGTTGCCTCCCTTTGGGGAAGCCTTTTACCTTAGGGGAAAGCTTCCATACAGGTGCTCCCTCCCTCCCAGGCAGGAGGCTGGAGCCTTACCTTGATGAGTCTGTCTCTGATCTCCCAAGAGAAGACGCCTGGATTCTCCTTCTTGTAGTCATCGATGCGCTTCTCAATATCTGGGGTGGTTACCTTGGGCTTGGAGCCGCCGATGACGCCCGGCCTGATGGAGCCGGTTTCCTGGTAGCGGTTGAGGATCTTCGAGACGCAGCCGTGGGAGACGCGCAGCTGACGGGAGATGACGCAGGGACGCACGCCCGCCGCTGCCATCTCCACGATCTTGAGACGTATGTGGTTGGGAAGCGGCCGACCATTGATGAAGACTCCGCCCAGCTGGTTGACGCGGCCCTGACCTGTACATACACCACCAGCTACTCTCAGTGTTAGGTAATATTACCACTCTTATTTACTAGATGATTGAGGAACCTCAAACACCTGTCTTATCTACTGGATGATCGAGGAACCTCAAACATCTGTCTTACCTAGTAGATGACTATCTACTAGTTGACTGAGGAACCTCAAACACCTGTCTTATCTGCTAGATGATTGAGGAACCTCAAACACCTGTCTTATGTACTAGATAACTGATGAGCCTCAAACACCTGTCTTACATACTAAATGACTGATGAACCTCAAACACCTGCCTTGTCTACTAGATGATTAAGAAACCTCAAATACCTGTCTTATCTTCTAGAATACAGATGAACCTTAACCTCTATTTTGTGTACTAGAACGATGAGGTTACATCAAAGCATTGTCTTATCTCCTAGAATGATTGGTGAACCGTTTATAATCTCTCACAAACTAATCACTAAGCTCATGTAAATCGTACGTCACATAATCGTTCAATATTAGTTATTTGTGCGTTTGTCTGAACAACAAAGTCATAACGTTGATTACGTCAGCGTATCGAACCTCAGGTAATATAGCGGAAGGTAATGAATGGCTTCATTTCTAGTTTCCGGCTCAAATGAACGGTGGAGACAGATGTTTTCATCCCCATGACACGAGATCGTTAAGTAGCAAGACAAGCGTCCTTGGCCCCGATTAACGGACGGGGAATCGAACCTTCGCTAATTTTTGTGCTGAAGTGGGCACATGCAACTTTTCTGTTGTACACGAAAATACATGTCGCTTTATACCAGCTTCGCTGGATACGCCATTCTTAAGGATTGTGTGGTCTAGTTGTCTAATGTATCATGTATTTACGCTCATCATGAGGTGCGCCAAAGCAGCATGGGTCCGACTCCTTCTCTACTGCAGTGTTGTTATTGAGCAATAACACTCGTCGTGGTTACAATAATATATATATATATATATATATATATATATATATATATATATATATATATATATATAAAATATATATAATATATTATATATATATTGTGTGTGTGTGTTTCGTGCCGAATAAGGCAAGGGATAATGTGTATGCAATAATTTCGCAAAAAATATTCTGAACCCTACGAAAAAAATATATATCATTGTGTTTATATATTATTAAATTACTGTAAACTTATCTAAAATATATTTAGCTGGATTAGGTTAAATTAAACTGTGTTTGTTACAATAAGGTTAGGTAAGTTTTCTAAGGTTCTTTTGGTACAAAATTATTAATTTTTACATTAACATAAATGAAAAAATATATCTTTAAACGTATAAGAGAAAATTTTAGAAATGATTTAATTTTAAATGAGTTCTTGCTGACTGACCAGTTTTTCATATTCGGCGATATATATATATATATATATATAATATATATAATATATAATATATATATATATATATATATATATATATATATATATATATATGCAAAACAACCAAAAAATTATAGGGGATAAGTCTGTTGAGTATACCTGGTAAAGTGTATGGTAGAGTTATTATGAAAGAATTAAAAGTAAGACTGAGAATAGGATAGCAGATGAACAAGGAGGCTTTAGGAAAGGTAGGGGTGTGTGGACCAGGTGTTTACAGTGAAACATATAAGTGAACAGTATTTAGATAAGGCTAAAGAGGTCTTTGTGGCATTTATGGATTTGGAAAGGCGTATGACAGGGTGGATAGGGGGGCAATGTGGCAGATGTTGCAAGTGTATGGTGTAGGAGGTTGTTACTGAAAGCAGTGAAGAGTTTTTACGAGGATAGTGAGGCTCAAGTTAGAGTATGTAGGAAAGAGGGAAATTTTTTCCCAGTAGAAGTAGGCCTTAGACAAGGATGTGTGATGTCACCGTGGTTGTTTAATATATTTATAGATGGGGTTGTAAGAGAAGTAAATGCGAGGGTCTTGGCAAGAGGCGTGGAGTTAAAAGATAAAGAATCACACACAAAGTGGGAGTTGTCACAGCTGCTCTTTGCTGATGACACTGTGCTCTTGGAGATTCTGAAGAGAAGTTGCAGAGATTGGTGGATGAATTTGGTAGGGTGTGCAAAAGAAGAAAATTAAAGGTGAATACAGGAAAGAGTAAGGTTATGAGGATAACAAAAAGATTAGGTGATGAAGATTGAATATCAGATAGGAGGGAGAGAGTATGGAGGAGGTGAACGTATTCAGATATTTGGGAGTGGACGTGTCAGCAGATGGGTCTATGAAAGATGAGGTGAATCATAGAATTGAGAGGGAAAAAAGAGTGAGTGGTGCACTTTGGAGTCTGTGGAGACAAAGAACTTTTGTCCTTGGAGGCAAGAGGGGAATGTATGAGAGTTAGTTTTACCAACGCTCTTATTGGGTGGAAGCATGGGTGATGGAATGTTTGCAGCGAGGAGAAGGCTGGAGGCAGTGGAGATGTTCATGTTGAGGGCAATGTGTGGTGTGAATATAATGCAGAGAATTCGTAGTTTGGAAGTTAGGGGGAGGTGGGATTACCAAACTGTTGTCCACAGGGCTGAGGAAGGTTGTAGAAATGTATCGAGATGTAAAAATGACCGGCCGAAACAGAATGACTTTCAAGGCGTATCAGTCACCTCTTACTGGAGGAAGGCTGGGTATGGGTTCGCCTAGGAAAGGTTGGAGGGAGGAGTAAAGAGTTATTTCATGGAAACAGAGGGATAGCTACGGACTTCCAGCAATGCATGCTGAGCATGTTTGATAGAGTGAATGCAGACAAAATGGTGGTTTATACTTGACAACGTGCGGTGGAGGATGTAGCCAAGTAACATTATGAGGGATTCAGGAAACCGCAGGCCGGACTTGAGTCTGGGATGGAAGTACAGTGCCTGCACTCAGACGGTGGCGTGTTTGTTGCAGTTTAAAAAACTGTAGGTGTCAGGGGCATCCCCAGACTGGCAAGACGGGGCGGATGAGTTTAAATTTTTCTATTCCGGGGATGAACCCTGCCTTGGTTTGGAACCGGTCGTGTTGATAAATACAAAAAAAAAAATAAGGAAGGTTAGCACAGGCACCTCTGTGACCACAAATGCAAGTTTTTACAGACGAATCTCCAGCTAGCGTAGTCGTGACGAACTCTAGCTCAAGTCCCTTCACTGCCGTCAACATGACTCAAGAAATCGTAATGACACGATTGCAAACAAACCATACCCCCGGCCGGGATTGAACCCGTGGGTCGAGTCGAGTGCCCAAGGAGGAACTGGGAACAGCTAAAAGTAAATATCTTGAATGTGATGCTTTCACCGCTAGGAGACAAACTTTGTCCTTTCCTGAAGCGTTGGTGAGCATTGTGTTGACGATTTTTTCCATGATCGGTTTGTCCCAGTGGGACTGTTTGTGCTCTTTGAGAGGAGCTGGTCTACTGGAGGAGTCTGCAAGGGTGTCCCACCGCATGGCTGCTTCAATGAACTGCACCTCTCGAGCGTTCGGGGACAATCTCCTTGGCTAGTCCATTGGAAGCCAGACACGAGGACAGAACTGCTGGTAAAGCTACCTGCTTTGCCTTGCACATCCCTATACCTCCAGGTCGCACTGGAAGAGTTGCCTTATCCCATTGCTGATCTTCCAGTGACACATTCAGTGCTTTCTTAAAGACTGATCTCAGGAGTAAGTTATTTTCGTTGAGTGTTGTGTTGTCAAAAGAGGGTGCGCACCTCAGGAATTATTATTATTATAATCAAAAAGAAGCGCTAAACCACAAGGGCTATACAGCTTAGGAAGTGAGTGAGTCTTGGCAGAGTAAGACACCTTGTGAGGAGATACAGGGCATCATGGGCATCAAGATCCCTTATTCTCTCCTCCATTCTCTTCAGGTCATTCAGTTTGTCCTTGAGGACTGTGTCGATTGCCTGATGACCCAGCGGTGCTCCCAAGAGGATGCTGTTGGATGGAGTGGTGGTAGAGACTTCAGGAAGGACTGTTCGCACAGCTCTGATTATTTCCTGGTTTGTTGTGATGATTTCATACTTGGAGGAATTGAGGACGAGTCCCAATTCCTGTGTCTTCACCAGTTGTAGGTCCTCTAGTACCTGTCAGAGTGCCATCATCCAGGTACCAGATGTTAAGCTCGCTGCGCAGGCTGGAAGTTCTCTTACTGTCAAGCAGAAGAAAAATGGAGCGAGTGGGTTAACCTGCTGAACACCCTCTGATGAAGGAATTTCATGTTCACCAAACAAAAGAATTGAGGGTTTGCTGTAGCCAGCTGAAATGAAGGGGAAAAGGGCTGGGGAACCGGTCCCGAACGGCTGGCAAAACCACGTCTTTTTTCACCATTAAAAGCATTTCTAAAGTCAAGTTTGACTATAGCCTTGTCTTCTGGTAAGTCCCTGAGGTATGTATGCTCTTACTGCATGAGCTGCCGCTTCACTGTCTTGAGAGACCCCAAAGCCCAGTTGGTGTGGCTGGAGTAAATTGGCAGCTTCTAGGCGAATGTTTCTTACTGCTGCTTTGGCAACGAGACGGCGAAGAGTGTTTCCAACAGCAATGAGCCTGATTCCCCCATCCTTCTTCTTCAAAGCACGTAGTGAGGCTCCAAAAAAAAAAAGTTTGATTTCTTCTGGAATCCGCCCAGCCAGGCCGTTGTTGACGAACATTCGTAACTCTGAGAGAAGAATTGATGTTGCTGTGCCGAGTACTGGATTTGCAATCTATATGAGGTGTTGTCATATTCCATTGTAATCTCCTGCAGATCCTGCTGGAAATGACACTGTTGTATTATTGACTTCTAAGTCTAGCAAAATTAATTATCCAGTGAAGAGGTCTTCCTCAGGGTTGGTGTTAACGACTCTGGTGTCCCTTGTTACGTGTTTGTCTCTTACTGCTTGGGTTGTGGCTTAATTTTTGGGAGCAACAGTGTCGTCACTTGTAATTATTCTGATTGCTCCCACTGTGTTACTTCGATTTTTTTGTTAACCTGTGGGTAAATTTTCTCGTTTTCAGTGGATTTTTTCTTGGGTCTGCGTCTGTGATTGCTGCGATGATGGGG